TGGATGCGCTGTGTTCCTTTCTTGCTGCTCTGTGTGTGGTCCAGAGCTAAGTGTGGGCCGTCGCAGCTGCGGGTACAGTGGGGAGAGACCCTCAGCCACCCACTCCTCCTTGCTTCCCTGCCATGGCCCGAGATGCTGTCATCCCCGACTGATCTACTCTCAAAGACACGTTCCTGAATGCTGTGATCCGAATGTGAACCCCAGAGGACCAAAACCCTTAAAGTCTAGATCCCCATCCTGAATGGTTGACAGCCTAAATGTTGAGACTGTCAACGCAGAAACCCCGAAATCCACAGTTCTCCTGGGGAAGAGAAGGCTGTTTAGGAGGAGAGACGAGCAGATTCTGAGAAGCAAGCGTGTGGTCAGTTGTGTGCAGCATAGCTATATCTTGTGAGGGGGACAAATTCTTAAGGAATAAGTAGAAGACCATTTAACTGAAATGGCTAGGCAGAAAATTAAAAAACTAAATAAAATTTCTTGTAGGTGAGTATATGAGCAGTTGCAGATTAAAGGATCTATCCAGGATGGTTGTGGTCAGGCCATGTTGGCCTGACCCTGGCCAGGGACAGAGGCTCTCGACCCACAGAAGTGCTCGTGCTGCTTGTTACCTTTCTTCCTCCCAATGCAGTCTTAATGATTTTTGTCTTTTACCTCTTCTTAACCTTTAAAAAACCATAGTACCGTTTTCTTCTCTGTGTCCCCTTCTCTCACCAGCCTGAAGTCTCATCAGGGATGGCATAATGGTGGTGGCATTTCCAGCCACTGTTGATCACTTGCTGCTCCCCATTGATGCTGTGGACGGGACCCAGGTCCCCACTTATGCCGAGTAGATACTATCCCATGGTGGCAGAGTGTCCCTTATCCCGAGGGCCGTGCCCCGCAGTCTCCAGGCTTCTGAGAGAGCGAGAAAGGCTGACTGGTCAGAAAGCCATTTCTTTTTTTCCGTTAAATTATTTATGGAGATAAATGGTAATCTGTATGTGACAAAAAAGCAGAGTAGAGAAGTGGGAAAGATCCTCATTTTAAACACTTGGACTCACACGTTAGGCAAGAAAAGTGTCTTGTTCAAAGAGCGTTCGAAACAGCCTGTTTTGCACATTGAGCGGCTGCTGCTCAGACACACGGTAGGTGAGCAGAGGGGGAGGAATGACCAGCACTCACTTCCTTCAGAGGTATGGAGAGCCTGAGGCAAGTGAAGGTCCGGGGTAGTGTAGGGTCCCCGTGGTCACCAGAGCCCGGGGCAGTTGTGTGCCACGCCTGCCTCCTAAGGGGGCAGGGCCACAGCGGCCCTTCTGGTCAGGTTTAGGTGAGAAGGAAAAGAAGAGGCGCAAATACATGCTGGAAGCCAAGGGCCTTACGATGAATGCAAAACCTGCAGTCAGAGTGCACGTGAACCCAGGCCCTTGGCACAGGGTGGGGGACACCTCTCTGTGGTCACCAGGCGCCTGCATCTTTAGGACACTAGTGTGTGTTGTGCCCACAGGAGCTCCTCAGTGGCCTGGAAAGAGGAGAAACTTGTTTTCACTCACAGTTTCAGGAGGTTCGGTCCACATTGGCCGTGCAGCAGAAACATCATGGTGGAAGGCCCTGGCGAGACACAGGTGCTCAGTTCATGGTGGCCACAGAGCAGTGCCAGGGTGGCTCCCTGACCTGTCCACACCTACCCAGAAGTATGCTTTACTGCTTTCCCTGGCAGCTCCCAGGCCAGTCAAGTTAACGCGCTGGTGCTCAGCCAGCACAAGGAGCAGGTGGACCATAAACCAGGGCAGTAGTACGAGCTTGGGAAGCCATTAGGTCAGCTGGAAACCTGATCCAGGAGTGTTTCTGGTTTCCTGCCTTACTGCTGGGGCCTGTGAGTGCAGCCCGAGCCTTGGTATGCAGTGTGAGTCTCAGAGGCAAGTATGCTCCAAGGACATGAGCAGTTCTCACCCAGAGCAAACCACACTTCGTCTGACTGAGGGATCCCACGCCTGTGTGAACTGGGGCTTCTGTCTCCAGATGGTTCCTTGGCATCCTGGCTATGGCTGTCCTGGAAAACCTGCTTTGTGCTCTTCCTCTGTCTAATTCTGATCCCATGCCTCTTTTACGTGACCTCTAAAGGAACCGAAGCCATGCACAGCTGCCGCAGACCTCTTTCCTGCACAGCGTCCCCTGTGGTGTGTGGTGTGTGGATCCTTGGGGAAGTGAGTGTTGCTTTCTGTATGATGCTGGCTGCAGATGGCAGTGTAGTGTGGGCTGCTGCTTCGCAGTGGTGGGCTAGTGTTTGTGAGGTTTACCTTGCCTCCCTGGTATTTGGAATGAGAAATGGGAGAAGGAACAGTTGGAAGTTCGAATGCACCATTGTGAACCTGGGAGCAGCTAGTCCTGGACTTGCCATGACCTGCGTTGGCCACGTGGCACAATGCCACCTGGCACAGGTCACTTGAGTTGGCAGAGGTGGGTTCTTGTGTTAAAAGCCCCTGAGAGGTGGTGGTGGCAGAACCAAGAGTTGGAAGGAGAGAGTCAGCACTTTCCGAATAGCGGTGCTGGGCACCTGGCTCTGCTTTCCTCATGCAAGCGGCCTGTGTCCCTCTGGAACACCCGCTAGAGGGTGCTGTGGACAGGGAGGACAGCCGGGGTGGGGCGGCACGTCCCCCAAGGTCGTGTCACCCTGGCTGTGACTGCCTCTCTCAGGCGCCCTCCTCCTAGAGTTAGCAGACCGCCCAGAGGGGTCCAGTGGGTAACACTCAAGCCCTCAGTGTCCAGCTGCACGTTCCTTTGCAGGTCGGTCACTTACTCCATCGATCACTTTGATAACAGAGTTGTGTCCCTCACTTTTCACTTGTTACTTAGGGTTTGGTCAGAGCCCTGGATGTCCTGTTGTTTTCCAGTCATCTTTGGGACATGAAATGGGGAATTTTTTTTTTTTTTAATCGGTACCGGGGATCGAACTCACGACTGCCTGCTTGCAAGGCAGGTACTTATGCCGCTGAGCTAATGGGGAATTTTAACCATCATGCCGGGAATGCCCCACACACAACACACCCGAGGCAGTGCTGGGTTACACTGCTTTCTGTTTCCACTTGGAAAATGAGCTAGTGGTCTCTGGCCTGTGTTTTCATCAGTCCTTATTCTTTAATGCAGGCAAACTTGCCCCGTGTTACTTAGTCCCTGTGAATACTTCCAAATGTAACAAATGAGCTTCACTCAGAATTAAAGTGTAAGATAAACTTGCCTGTGTTTAATTCCAAGCTTTTGTTTGAGTGGCGCTGTCCTGGCTGCCCATGTGCTTTCTGAGCCAGGTGCATGCCTGCTTGTGATGGACAAGTGTCCCTGGCTCCACCCGGACACCAGCACGTGGGAGCTCCTTCCTGTGTCCCACCTGCTCGTCAGCCCCATTGATTGTCACATCCTGACCATGCTTTCCCATAAGCATAATGCTTTAAAACTGTCCACGAATCGCTCATTAACTGTCTGGTGCTTGAAAGTGAGCATTTGTTACCCTGCTCCTTCCCATCTGGGTTTAGCACTTTCTGTGGCAGGTACTTTACCACCTAAGAACCTTTGGAAGAGATTTTTGGACTAGATAGAATTTTTAAGTCTCACCCTAAAAATATACTTGGATCATTTTAAAAGAACATTATAAATTCTTACATTTGACTGGACATTAAAAAACTTGCTTAAGAAAACCACTAATATTGGGCCTTCTCAAAAACAAATACCTAGCATTCAATCAGCCCATAGAGATCTACTATGAGACAGAAGGCCCTGAGGGTTTGGTGTTGGTGAAGAATCAACCTTGTGTTCCGTAGTTCAGAGTTTTAGATTTCTAGAACATCTCCCCACCTGAAGTTTGATGTCTAGGTATAGATAAGTCCGAGGTCATCAAGGCCGACCTGAACTATTTGCTAAGTTGTGCTGTGGGCCTTGCAGGGCTGTCCTGCCTCCTTCTGGGGGAACTTCGCCATCTGCCATACTGGTGGCGTGTGCTGTGCCGGGGCTTCTCTGGTGAGAGACGTGGTGCCCACGCACTAGGCCTCCATTGGCAGGTCTGGCCCAGGACCGCTCACCGCCACTGCCACAGCCCCAGGCGATGCAATGAATAGCATGGCTGTGCCTTCACTTCCAGCCTCAGAAGGCTGTCAAGGGTTTGGACTTGCAGCTGGCTTTTCCAGGAGAGACCAGGCTGGACTCCCTGCTGGGCTGGGCGGAGGTCACCATGTGGGCAGCAGTCCTGCGCAAAGAGCTGTGCCTGGTCCCGCCTGTGTGACCAGCACTAGAGCTGACCTCTCTGGGCCCCCGCCTTTCTCTGTCTTTCCTTTCCTCCCTCCTCTTCTCCCTTCCCCCTCCTCTCTTCTGTCATTTCCTTTCTCCTTTCTTTCTCCCTGCCTTCTTTCCTGCCTACCTCCCTCCGTCCTTCCTCCCTCGGATTGAACCCAAGACCTTTTTGCTGAGCTGTATTCCCATTTTTATTTCGAGATGGGGTCTTGCTAAGTTGCCCAGACCAGATTTGAACTCGCTGTCTTCTGACTCAGCCTCACAGAGTACTGGATATACAGAAGTGCACCACACCTGGCTCTTCTCTGGTTTTCTTTCCTTAAAATGACTAAGGGTGAGCTCAGATTCCAGGAGACCCTAACATGGATGGATGTAAAGTGTTAGGTGGTTGCTATCAGTTAAGTTTGTTTCCTAATTTCTAGAATAACTGGTCACCTTCTGTTAATGTAGTGCCGTGTAAGTAAATCTGAAGCTGTTTTCATTTCCCTTCAGTCTTTTGAGTCATTTTAATAGACTGGAAAAAGAAGCCCACCCAAGATAGCATTTCCTGGTTCTTGCTTGCTTAGCTTCCAGGAGAGTCTTTGAGAACAGAGCCTACCCAGGAGCTACCTGTCCTACACCGACCTTGCTTCTGGGAGTGTCAGGCCAGGGTATCTCGGCTTCTCTTAACCGTTGGATTTCCCGTGTCTTGTTTTGTTCTGATAAGAAATTTTAATTTCTGCGTTTACGTTTTCACTCTCCAGGGGGACACCCGAGGCGCTGCTGCTCTTCTGAAGACATAGCATCAACTGTGCTCTCCAACGGAGACCAGAGTCACAGACTTGGAAATAACCTGCCAGGAAAAGACGTCAGCGAGTCCAAGGTGGGGATTGCAACTCCTGTGTCCATACTTGAAAACAGTAGCAGAGAGACTTCCAAACGTCCCGAACAACATAGATTTTCTCTTGACTTAAAGATGCCAGCATTTCGCCCCAAGCAGGAGGCCCCAAGCTCTAGTGACGATGTGGACTTCCCTTCGAGTCCAGAAGGAGCCGACCTGCAGCTTACATTGGAGAGCCAGGCTGGTCATCCTAAAGACAAGCTGTCTGATTTGCACAGTAAGGAGCATTCTGGGGGAGGAAAAAGTACACCAGCCCCAGACCTGACCCCTCTAGATTTAAGTGCAAGGTCGACCCGGGATGACTCCAGCAGTAAGGAAGTGGCCTCCTCTTTGCAAGCTGCTCTAGTCATCCACCCGTGTCCTTACTGTAACCACAAGACCTACTACCCAGAGGTCTTATGGATGCACAAGCGCGTCTGGCACAGGGTCAGCTGCAACTCCATGGCCCCCCAGTGGATTCAGCCCAACGGCTACAAAAGCATAAGAAGCAACTTGGTTTATCTTGCCCGGAATGGAAGAACAGGGCCTCCGCCCGCCCTCGGGGGCAAAGAGTGCCAGCCCCTACTTGTTGCTCGCTTCACCCGCACTCAAGTGCCAGGTGGGGCACCTGGACCCAAAGGCAGTTCTTCTCCCCTCGGAGTGACCACGAAAGCAGCTACGATGCCCAAGAATAAGGAGAGCCATTCCACAGGCCCCTGTGCACTGTGGGCCACTGGCCCCGATGGGTATCGACAGACCAAACCTAGCCAAGGCCAGGAATCCTCCAGCACTTCAGTGCAGGGGCCCCCAGCCAAATCCAAACTGGAGGCCAGCTCCAAGCCAGCACCTGCCCTGGGCAGTGGAGGCCTTGGCAGGAGTGCCACCCCCACACCCTCTGTCATAACCCGAGTAGGTGCCCAGCCCTTGGCCAGCAACAAGCCAGTGGAGAATTTTGGGGTCTCATCAGTGGGGGCTGGCTTTGCTCCTCCAAATAAGCACAGTGCCCCGGATTCCCTGAAAGCCAAATTCAGCCCTCAGCCTCAGGGTCAGCCTCCTGCAAAAGGCGAAGTGAGCCCTCCTCTACCTCTCCGGGAGCCCCCCTCCAAGGCGGCCCAGGAGCTGAGGATGCTGGCCACCTGTTCTGCGGGGTCCAGAGGTGATGCAGCATTACAGGGCCAGCCTGGGATGGCTGGCGCCCCTGTCTTACACTCCATCAAGCAGGAACCAGTGGCCGAGGCCCATGAGAAGCGCTTGGACATCCTCAACATCTTTAAGACATACATTCCAAAGGACTTTGCTACACTCTACCAGGGCTGGGGTGTCAGCAGTCCTGGGCCAGAGCACAGAGGTAAGATGTGCGGGCTCCCTCCTCCCTGGCCACTTGGAAGCTCCTTGGAAAGAGCAGAGGGGCCCACCCACCTGCTGGGAATCCCTGATGGCAGTTCCAGGACCTTCCACGTCACAGTGCAGCTGCTGTCTTCCTTTGCCCTGGCTGACAGGAGCTCAGCCCTGAGATGCTGCCCTGTTGGGACCGTGTGCTTGGGTCAGCGGTGTCTGGACATGTCTTTCCTTCTGATGATAACTGGAAACCCCGTGATGTTTCCTCCACACTCAAACTGATGGGCATAGGCAGGCTTGGTTGCATTTCATGTTTTATTAGTTTAAACAACACATTGGTAGAAGTTCATTGTCCTTGTTTCTCAAAAAAGAATGTCCCTTTGAAGTGATTGTCTTCTTTTTATGCTTAGATGATTGGAAACGTACCTAAATGTACTCCAGCATTAGTTAGCAAAGCCTTGCAGAGGGTGCTGGTATTGTGTGAAGTCAGGAGCACTGAGTTATGCCGAGGTTCCTGGAAAAATCCTGCAAACAATGACTTCCAAGGGCTTCCAAACAAGGGCTTGGGCTTCCACACCCTGATATTAATAACTAATAGTAATACTGGTTGAGTTTCTTATCTAAATTACCTAGAATCAAGAGTTTGGATTTTGGAATCTTTTAGATTTTGCAGTATTTTCATATATGTGATGAGGTAAATGGGGATGAGATCTAAGTCTAAAATTAGAATTTATTTATGTTTCATATTCCCATAGCTGGAACATTATACAGAAATTTTAATAAGTTTGTGCATGAAACAGTTTATACATTGGACCATCAGATGTCAGGTGTGGAATTTGCTATTTGTAATGTGACGTAAGGACTCAAACATTTTTGAGTTTTAGAAGATTTTTGATTTTTAGATTAAGGGTACTTACCCAGTGTTAATAAGCAATTGCCAGTAGTTTTGACGCCTTATTGGATATATGCGTTGGGTGTGATGCCTTTGTTCTTTAAAACACACAGAACACTGGGAAGTATAGGTCATCTTACAAAGCAGACCAGATGAACCCCACTGTGGGATTCAGTCTCTTAGTTACCTGGGTAGTGCTAAGTCTTCTCTGAGCAGAGTACCTGCCATGACCCTGTAGTTCCTTAAAGCAGTCACCAATGAGACAGTCTGGGAGACTCAGGGGCTCAGACTCCTGGCAGCTGGAAGCACTGCTGGGCAGTGCTGTCCAGGCCTGGGCAGTTTGTTGCCAGCAGGGGGCTCGCCCTTCATGCAGCTCATGGTATGATGCTGCCCAGTAGCCAGAGGTGGTTCCAGCTAGATCCCCAAAGCAGGCAGCAGCCAGCAAGGCGTGGAATGGCACCTTGGCTGTGTGCCTGGTTCCAAGGTGGCTCGTCGGAAGGTGTTTTCCAGTGAAGGACTCTCGGGCACGCTTTGTTCCTGCAGGTCTGCAGTAGAGGCTGGAGGGAGCTATCCCTTCCGTCCGGTTTTATATTTTACTTTGCAGGACAAGGGGCTGGACCCAGGGGCCCTCTACCATTGACCTACGTCCCACCCTTTTCTTTCCTTTGTTTTATTTTGAGATGTGGTCTCATTCAGTTATGTAAGTAGGACTAGAACTTTGCTCCTCCTGCTTTGCCCGGCCTCAGTGCTTATGCTGAAGAGACCGTGTGTGCCGAGAGCTCTCTACACAGCATAGGCTGCATCTGCAGAGGTGGAAGTGGCCCGGGGCCCGGGGTCAGGCTCTGGGTTCCTCTCAGAAGTGTGCTGTGTGTGACAGTGTCCTCTGCAGCTTCTTGCAGGCAGGCTGAGGACAGCTACCATGTGCTCCACATGTCTTCTGCCAGTTTGGTTCTGGCAGTGGGTCGTGGGCTCTGCAGTGTCTCGCAGTCCTGCAGGTTTTTGCTGTCGAGGGCATTGCCCGTGTGTGCTGGCCTTGGGGTGGGGCCAGGCCAGGTCTTCAGCTTTGGGTTTCCGAAGGACCACGGCCAAGATCCCCGTAGTGGACCTTGGTTCTTGGCAGCTCCTCGCCCTCTTACCGTTTTCTTCCTGACCTGTGCTAGATGTTGGTGCTGGGTGTTACTGCCTGTCACACTGTGAGCTGGCCTCCTCATTTCATTACTGTGAGGTGTACCCGTTTGCCCTCAGACTCGGGGTGAGGTGGCTGCGCAGGGAACGATCATACGCTGCTCTGCAAACCTGGGAAGGAGCTGCTGCTTTCGTAAGAAAGTGGAAGTGAGCGTGAAGTTTTGAGAATGTCAGATGACAGAATTTGAAATTTAAAAATAGACAAATACTTACGTCCTTTTCCTTAAAATATTTTTAAAATATTTAGTTCTAAGGATGTTTTGTAAGGGTAGAGATGAAATATTTAACTTTTCAGTGTGAAAAATGCTCATAATCCATAAAGCAAATGTGCTGTTCTCAGATTATTCTAAAGTACACATTGAAACATGTATAAGTCAGTCGATGTGTGGTCTTTGAGTTCACTCTGCTTTGAGATTCTTAGGAGGAGTGTTTCAGGCTTTTTGACCTTAAAAATGCACTTATTAGGACCTTAGCTCCCCAGGCTTAGAGAGGAACTTGAGAGTATCTCGGCCACTGAGTGGTGGAAATATGTGAACCAAAGCAAATGCATCATGGACGCGTTCCTGAACACGTTAGAAACTAAACGTCTGAGGTTTTGTTTTTACACTTGCTTCCACTTGCATTTTTCTTTTCTGTGTATAGATCAGCTTGTTTTTGTGTATGCATGTCAGTGCTTGTTTTATATCCTTTGTCAAATGAATCTTTCCACTTACGATACAAGTGAGCGACACATTTTGGACCTTTATCCTGCCGTCTGATGGATTTGCAGTGTATCTCTTACTTGGGTCACCTGCAGACCTTTTTAAAGGTCATAACTTCTCTACATAGGGTACTATGTAGCTATAGTGTCATCCTGGAGATCGGGGAGGCAGCAGTGTGCAGTAGTCTTTTAGAGGGACAGAATGGCATTTCTTTTGTGTATAGATAGCTGTGGCTTCTATAAATGTGCCATGCATATTTGTAGAGAGCTTGCAGTTCAGTGCTACCCCAGGCATCAGGCTTTATTCAGAAGCTGAGAAGGCTCCTTCTCATGAACTCGTTCCCCCAGGCTTGCCCAGATGGTGTTCCTAGAGTGAAGCACGGAGAAAGCCAGCCAGAAGGACATGCCTGTGGTTGCCTCCTTGCTCACTGACGAACCCTTTAAGAGCAAAAACTCTGATGTTTTCTGTAATCTTTCTATGGTGTGACTAGCAAGTCTGGAAACATGTGAATATAACATAAATCAGTTACTGATAGAGTAGTGCTAAAGTAACAAATTACCTGTCACATGATAATGTGACAACCTATATTACGTGATAATGTGGATTTTAGAACAAAATATTTAAGATAATGAGATGAGATAGTTCTTGATAAAATAGTATGTAAAGTCTTTGTGAATGGAACTTTCAGGAAGTCATTTATTTATATCAAAGGTACATTGATGTGGCCATGATGGAAGGGTGTGCTTGTCCAAGTAACTGCATCTGTTTGGAGAGTCTTTCTGACCTCCTGTTTCCCCTTACTGGTGACACGCTGCACACAATATGGTAAAATAAAAGACTTGAAGGCCACTTAGGTCTCTGAGGACGGGCAAGTCTTTTTCTTCCATTTTAAGGTCTGTCTTGTCTATACCTTGAGTTTCTAGGTCAGCATGTTTGAGCTGTTTGCTCACCAGGTAGTCTTCAATTCAAATTGTTTATAACCTTTTGATTAACTCAGAATTTTTGGAGGAGCTCAGACATGAAATTATTGACCATAAAGGGCAAGTGCATTTTGTATAAAAAGTAAAGTCAAAGTGATATAATAGGATGCATGGAAATATACTCTGTGTGTGTGTGTGTGTGTGTGTGTGTGTGTGTGTATGCACACGCATGCACATTCTCATGCGTGCATAAGAATACTTGAGTAGAAGAATAGAGATACTGTGATTTTTCTGTTGCTCCTTTGGATAGGAAATAGTCAAAAATAGCACTCAATAAAAGAATGTTAATGACAGATTTTAGAGGCTGTGACTGTGGGATACAAATGCCGTTGTGTTTCCTCACCACCAGTAGGTGTCTTATGTAGGGATAGTTGGAGTCCACTGTCCAGCCAGCCAGAGTAATGGTCAGATGTTGTTTTCGGACTGGCCAGCGGATAATGAAACTGGGGAACACAGCCATTTTTCAAGTTGAAATTTTCCTGCATCAAAGTAAGAGAAGAGAAAGCTTTCGCATTCAGGAAGGGCAAGAGTATCAGCAATTTGACAGATGCTGACTGGAGCAAAGTTTTCTTGCAGTGTAGAAATCAACAGTGCTGACAACAGTGTCCTCACAGTGGGTGTGGCTGCTCAGGGGCCTGGGACCTCCTCCCTGAGCTCTTCCTTCTGTGATGCTTGGTTATGTGTCAGTTCCGTGTGCATTTTGCATGTTAACTGCTTGTGTGGTTTGCATGTATTTTCTCTCATACCCTGGGCTGTCTCTCCACTCTGTTGACCATTTCCTAGTTTGCTCTCTGCTTTGATGCAGTCCCGTTTGTCGGTCTGGTTTTTACTGACTTTGCTTATGGGGTCATATCCACACAGTCATCTAGGCCAAATGTGTCAGCAAGAGAACCTATGAAGTAGCAGTCTCATGGGTCATTTAGAACACCTGAGGTCATTCCCACAGGTGGTCTTCATGGCTTATGAATGGAGCACCTGTTGACATTTGTGGGTGGCTTCTCATCGGTAGAACGAGCCTTAAAAATTTTGTTACTGTTTTGTGTAAATGTATGTATGTGTGTGTGTGTTCCTGAGTAAGGCAGTGGGAAATTAGGTGCTTAGTGGGCAGATTCTCAGATTTCTCTAAGACTTATTTTCACAATCTATCAAATAAGAAACAGGAGCTGCCCTCACAGTCCATGCATTCTTTGATTTCCATAAACATCTATAATGTAAAATGATTATATATATGCATGTATATGCCCTAAATTCAGAGTGGGCTCAACATACGTAGTATAATATATGAATTAGGGCAAGATAAGCAGTCACGAAGATCTGCTCTTCACCCAGTTTGCCTAAAGTGTCCTTTTGTCCTCCTCTGCATTTGCCTTTTATGTATAACTGTCAGACAGCAGAGACAGCTAAAGGAAACATTGATTTTTTGCTTTATTTTTTAAAAATTATTGCTGCAGGCATAACGTGTTCTAGAGAATATTTGTGTTTGCTTTCCTGCTCATTGAGCTGAGTTACCAATAAGCACGATGGTGACAGTGCACCCAGGGACTTTTCTTTGGAACTACCATTCTGTGAAAAGTGAGCTGCTTGTTTTCTTTAGGTAGAAAATGCCTTGAGACAGGACCGGAGTGCAGACTAGTAGCCCACTAGTAGCTGTATCCCCTTCTAAGCAAAACCCAGGCTGTGCTCATGGCTCAGAAGGCAGCTGGAAGCCCAGAGCGGATGTGCAGTGTAACTGCGTTATCTTGGGAAAAGGAGGCTTTGGTGTTTCTCACCACTTCCGATGACCAAGCGCCCTGCTCGCCAGGGGCTGCTGCCTGCGGGTGGCTGGCTCACAGGCCCCAGGTTTCCTCTGTGCTGGAGGCAGGCAGGTGGGAAGCCCAGAAGGTCCCCATTTGCTGACGGCTGTGCTTGCTCTGCATCAGTCTCCTGGGATCACAGCTGGGGTGCGGGTGGGCTCTGGTCCCGGTCACTTCCTATTATCCATGCGCCTCGTCTCTGTCACACCGACGTCACTTTGATTTGCCCGATGTGCTGCTTGACAGAGCTGGGTGATGGCTGGGCTGTGCCTCCAGCTGCCTGGAGCAGTGTGTCGCTCACAGAGGCGTCTCTGTGTCGTCCCCTGAGCAGTTTTTAATTCACTGTAATTTATGCACCCGCGCAGTCCTGCTATGCCTGGCCTGTCAGCCGAGCCAAGAAAATGGCTACCAGTTGTCACTAGGCCTTGAAGGTGGCCTCCCGTGCTGATACTTAAGGTATACTAATGATATTTTCCTCTCCCCTCCCCTTCCCTCCCACTCCTCACTGCCACCCCAATCCCATCACGGCCACGCCATGCCACACCACACCACGGCAGGGACACTCCGGACACAGGCCCGCCCGGGAGACTTCGTCTGCGTGGAGTGTGGGAAGAACTTCCACCAGCCCAGCAACCTCAGGGCCCACATGCGAGCTCACACAGGTATCGCCCCCCTAGTGGGCACGTATGGCCCAACAAGCAGAGGCTGGGTGGGGGTCTTTTCCGCCAGTCACTGGATTGTCCACGTGGTGGACACCTTCACATTTCATCCCTTGCCTGGTGACAGTGCCTTCAACCTCTGAATTTTGTACAGTGGTGTATTGCTCAATACGTAACATTTTCTTTTTCTATTTGGCATCCAAGTGCCATGTGGTTTAATTTGAGATAAGCCTGTTTGCAAATGTTCCATTTTAATTAGAGTAGACTCTTCAGAAATGAATATGCTAATGAATTACATTGCTGCTAGCACAAATGAAAATCGAGCACCCTTCCAGCCCAAGTGCGGCCCGCTTATGTCCCGATGGCCACGGTGGCACCGTGGAGACCCCAGGCCACTCTTGGCAGTCTGCGGTGTCTTGAGAACCCTCCGTGCTCTGTAACTAGCTTGCTGGAGACCAGAGGAAGCTGCACTGTGTGTCAAAATAGGGCCTGCACACTAGAGAGACAGGGAGACAGGCACTCTTCGTCTGAAGTGTGAGGGGTGCACCAGAAGCCAGCTTGATGCAAATGACACAGGCCAAATGGTAAGTAACACCCGAAGAGGGTCCCTTTGCACACATACTGATAATTAGTGTTGTCAGTGATTGCTTTCTTCTGCAGAGGAGTCTGAATTAAAAAGGGCATTGGCCCCAGGCAGCCATTATCCCAGTCTCTTACTATAAGTGTTACAGTAAATTGGTGTTTTCCGGCCATAGGCGAGGCATCCGTGTCTGTTTTGTGAAAGTGCTTAATCTGTAATGAACTTGTGCAGCGTGCATGTTCCTGAGTGTCGCCTGTCCTCTGCTAACAGACCCCTTGTTCCCACAGTGGTGTTTGAGTGTGATGGTCCTCGAGGTGCCGAAGTTCACACAGTCTCCATGGATGCCCCCAAACAAGTAGGTCTTGTGAATGACTGTCTTGTGTGGAAGCTGGAAAGAGTGGTGTCCTCACTACACAGCAAGTGTGTTTTCACTAGCAGTAATTCTGCAAGGTCTTAATGCAGAGCCTGCCCCTTCAGCACAGTCTGGGTCGTTGGTGAGCAGTAGAGGCCACCTAGCTGAGTTACATGGTGAGGGGCACAGGCACGTGATCGGCTCCTGGTGGTGTTGGCATGAGGACACTGGTAGAGAGTGGTGGAAACTGACAGCACTAGAAATTTTTAGTTTTTTCCCAAGATGTTTTGGGTCTAAATTTGCCTTCAAATAAATTATTTCTTGTCTTCTTGGATAATACTATTTTTGTATCTTTCCACGAGAAGTGTTTCATGTTCCTGGTGGTGTTTCATGGCTATGTGCTTTGCTTCTCCATGTTGACAGTGTTGGCATGGTCTTGTGCATTGAAATACCCATGTGGATAGGTTCTGTATGGGTCTGTTTCAGATCTGTGCATGATGTGTATTGCTGTAGGTCTGTGTATTTCACGCATAAACCATTTGGTATGTGCAGAATTGGGCAGAGCCCTAAGTCACGTGGGATGGAGCATTTCTCTGAGGGGGGCCCCGCAGCCCCTGGAAGGCTGTCCTGGGCGGAGGGCGTATGACTTTGGTGCTCATCCCCCTTCTTATCCCCCTGTAGTCTTGTTCTCATGCACCTCCTCTCTACACAACAGTCCAGCTCTCTTACCATTGCTCTGCAACTGCTCACTCTCTTCTTCGCCCAGAGCAGTGCTCCAAGTCCTGTCTGGATGGTACAGCAGGCAGGCGACTATTTCCAGTCCTGACAAGCCCTAGGACTGTCTGATGAGGGTGGCAATTCAGGAGTCAGTTTGGTCTAATGAGACTTCAGGGAGACTTGAGCTTTCTAGTTTGTTTCACTCAGGGAAAACATCAGAGACATGGATGAGCTTTGTCTGGGTCTGAGTTTGGAGCTTCTGTGACCTCATCAGGCATTTAATCTGTTTCTCTCATTGTATTTTTAGAATTTCCATTTGTTATCATGTGGCGAGGATTTCTAATTGTTCTTCAAGACCTTCACTTCATGTATTGTTGACAAGATGCTCTGCTATTTATAACAAGGTTTTTTTCCCTCCAATACTAGGGAATAAACTCAGGGATTTCACAATGGCGACATCTCCTGGCTTTTTTATCTTTTATTTTGCAATAGGTCTCCCAGAGTGCTGAGATCATGGGTATGCACCACCATACCTGGCTTATGACAGTTTTTTATGACTTTGCCCTAAGTAAAATCTGTAGTTCTGAAATGTTAAGGTTACATTGTGATAATTTATGAAGTAAATATAACTCTTAACTGAATACTAAATTAAAAGATTTTCAAACACATGTGACCTCATCTTGAATTAGCTACCACCATCTTTTTAACACCAATGAAAACCTTGCCACCCAAGAGCCAATAGAACATGCGTGGGATATAGTGGGAACAGCACAGGTGCTGTGATGGGAGAATCACACAACCAGAGTGAATCCGAAGTGTTCTGTCACTCAGGGACTCTGAACCCACCAAAACCTGCCCTGCCCTCTGTTCTGGCGCTTTAGCTAGGGACTTGCTTTGCTACTGAGCTGCACCCTTGGCCCCTACCTGGCTTTGGGTGAGCGTGGCAGACAGAGCCAGAGAGCACCAGGCAGGTCCACGAATACCTGACTCCTCAGGAACATGGGCCTGTGGTTGGCTCAATAGTAATTCTATCTAAGCCTCTTTAAGTGTATCCATCAGAGGAAGAAATAGGGACCAAAACTGCAAATCACCAACATGATAGTTCAAATTATCATTACTCATCCTTGCTTCTGGGGAGGATGTGTTTTTCTAAGTAAACTCAGGCTGTTACATTGTCCTTGTTCCTGACCAGCCTGGTGGTATAACTCGGTTACCACGGTGCTGGTGACCATGGGTCCTGCCCCGACACAGCGAGCTCCGGGTGTGAGAGCTCGGTGCGTCAGCCTTCCTTCCCCTCAGTCTGTAGTGTTACACCTACGCGTGGTGAGCATCCCCGTCTTACGGCAGCTATTATAACTGGTTTAATTCTGTATTGGAGGTCTTCTTGTCTCTCAAGGCACCTTTTGTTCTTGGTGACCTTGAAAGTAGCTTTTGTTTATTTACTACTGAACGTTCTGGGTCTTTAGGGAAATTCCATTTTCCTTATCATTAAGAATTCCCAGAAGTTTGTTGACCAGAAAATTGAAAAATATCAATAATAAGTAGAGGTTTAAGTCTTAGGGTCCTCCTTTCTTACCCAGCAGTTCTCATTATTTACAAAAAAAAAAAATCACAATTGAATTATTAAATTTAGGATACATTATAGATTTCTAGAACTATTTCTTATAGTTATTGAAGTCTAGAATGTTGCTCATTATGTTCATCATTCATATTTTTAATGTTTAGAGTGCTTTAGTAACATTAACTGATGAATATGTAAATCAGATTCTTTTCCTGTGGGCTTTAGAAGTAGTGGATGGGGGCTCTCTTTTGGATCATACAACATGTGTATTCATGCAGAAATCATTTGATGTGACACTTAAAAGTTGATGGACTTTTGTACATACACATAAGAGAGGCTAAATTATTTAAATGAAATAGTATTTCAAAAACAGTTTTTTAATTACCATTTATAATCATTTGCCCAATTATTAATAATATTTATCAGATACTCACCGTGTCCCAGGCCCTGGGCAAGATATGAGGGAGACAAGATACACGTTTTCCAAACTTCCTTGTTTAAGTGCATTAGATGAGGAAAGGGGTGTAACACCTTGATGCAGTACCAACCCAGGTAGTCTTTGCAGTCCCAGGCCCAGGGCAGATAGCTGAGCAGTTCTTTGGAGGCCTTGAGGTGCTTGGGAGGGGCTGGAAAATGGGTGTATTGCAGAGGTGTTTGGGAGGAGACGGGTAGGAGCTGGAAATGGAGTACAGGAGAGAGGAGTGGCACTGACTCTGGGTTCTGGCTTGAAGCACCAGGTTCAAAGGGGAGGGAGGGTCCCGCCCTGGGCCTGAAGGAGGAGCAGGAAGCCCATCTGCAGATTACACATGAGTGAGTTTAGCCTGAGAGGCCGCTTGGGGATCCAGAAAGGAGTGACCAGCCGCTGGTGGTGTGTGGGTGTGGGGTGGAGAGAGCATCCTGTGGAGGCTCTTTCTGTCTAAGAGCTACATTAAATGCATTCAAAATCAGCGAATTCTGCCCTTGGAGAATGAATTGAGTGAATTACTGAGGCCCTGTGTCTTGAGTAGAGGGCTCTGGACTTGGTTTCTGCCTTCCTTGCCCCAAGTCCCCTCACCTGTGCAGCAGTGACACATACTTGGAGTGGGAATGACACCAGAAGATGCCCCTGCCTGGCACAGAACATGTGTGATGCTGAAATTGATCGCTTTCTTAGTAACCAGTTGAAACTCACAGTGGGCACAGCATGCTTGTGAGTAGCCTGATTTTGTTTTGCTTAAGAGATTAGTTGTTAGTTGTCTGTTAAAGGGGAGACACAGGAGATCTGTTAGTCTGAGAAGAGTATTGTCTATAGGTTTCCCCTTGTCATTCTTTGCTGAGAAGGCCTCCAGTTGGTGGGCAGACAGATTGGGTTTTATGTATTCAGCTGCATAACAGCTGACCTGATTTTGCCTTATTCATGTTTAAATTTTCTGTCCTATATAACCTAATTAATTTCTTAATTATAAGAAATCATAATATAGCGTAGGTTCTAGTGAACATTTCAGTAGGTTTGAAGGCCACAAAATTGCATGAAGTCTGTAGTCAGAATTGAGGTTCTCGCTGGCGCACACGTGAGCTCTGAGCAGAAGTGGGATCAGTTCTTTTGCTGCGTCTTGTAGCGCCTTTCTTTGCTCATTCCTTCATGAGTGTCTTTTGAGTCATGGGTGTGCACAGCACAAGATCCCACGGAACCTCACAGACACAGCAGTCTGGCCGTCCTTTGGGAACTTGTCCTCCCGGCAGGTCACCAAGGTGGGAAAGATGGCTGCACCTCAGGGTGACAGGTACAGGCGGAAGAACAGAACTGTGTAGAGGCCTCGGTGTCTGTTTGCATTTATTACAGAAACAAAACCAGAAACACCCAGGGATTTAAGCAGTGTGTGGGTCATGCTGGTGCTGCTCTGTGTGGGTTAAAGACAGTTCCAGCCATGTGTTCTCTGCCATTGTTTCAAGCCGAATTCTCAGTGAGAGGAGGTGTTCATACATATTGTCATTTCAAAGATGTTGTTTCTTTTTTTTTGCTGGAGTTTGAACTATACTCGTAGCCCTTTTTGTATTTTGAAACAGAATCTCACTAAGTTGCCCACGCTGGGCTTGGAACTTGAGATCTTTCTGCCGCAGCAGCGTGCTGGGGTTGTATGTAGATATGTATTGCCATGCCCAGCTAAGGTGCTTTTCCACATATTGGCACGATTGAGTAAATGTTCAGGTTATAGAAATCATCAGTTTTCATCATCAGAAAGGAGACTTTGTGAAAGCATATGCTAACGTGTGGGTGCTGACCTGTGAAAGTTACAGTAAAATTTGGGAAGTTTGCTTAGTGTTGTGCAGAAATTACTTTATTATTATTATATTGTTGTGAGACATAAAATAGCTTTGAAATCAAGTCCCCTCTCACCCTATTTTGGGATTTAAAGGACCAGGCTGATTGTTGAAATGTGAAATCTGGTATTCTGATTTGTTTGTATTACTTGCCAAAATTTAAATATTATGATTAATAGTTTATATATTATTATTCTAAGTGTTATTTCTCAATAGTTAAGCTGGAGAAATAATTTCATTAATCAAAATAACAGGAATTAAAAATATAAATGGCAGCCTAATTTGTCTCATTTTTAGCTATGAATGTTGTAATACAAATGATGGGGAATCATGTAGGTGGTGTATTTGAATGTATGCATACTTTCTTATATCACTTTTAGATTCTTGCATTATACCAGATTTCAAAATACAGTTTATTTGTTGATGCTTTTTTAAACACATAAAACCAAACAAACATTTTGGATCATGACCACTGTTTTCTCTTAGTACCCCACCAAATCCATCAGGACAGCAAAAAGTGATTACCAGGGCTACTTGGGCCCCTGCAGCCCTGCTGACCAGCACTCCCTGGGTGAAAGTCAGGATCACCAAGGCCCAGGCACAGCTGGTTGGTTGGGGAGCATCAAGCCCCAGCCTTCGCACTTGACACAGCTTCCTTCATAGGCTGACCTTCCACAGAGGGCTGAGGGCGTCCTTGGCTGTCCTGGGCATTTGGGGCCTGTCATAGCTGTGAGATTGACCCACTCCTGTAACACAGATATGTTCCCTTGCCTTATAAATCAAAAGGGGAAACGGTGACTTCAGAGAGTCTTACAAGGCAGTCAGGTGTGTCTGCTGGCACACACCTGAAGTCCCAGGAGCAGGGCGGCTAAAGGAAGAGGACAGCTCTGAGTTCAGGCCAACCTGAGCTCCACACGGAGACTGTCTCAAAACACAAAGCACAGCTGTAGAGGTCAGTGCCCATTCTTAGCAGGCAGAAACGGCTTAAAGGCAGTGCTTCAGCATTACTGAAAAGTCACAGTTCACAGCTGTGAGGAAGGAAAGCTGAATGTCCCCATTCCTAGCTGTTGTTTTCCTTGCAGGAAGGAAAGCAAACCCAACTTCCCCATGCTCAGTATTACAGTGGGACCACTGCACCTTTCTTACATATTTATTTAATTTCTTAAAAGTCCTATAGTGATGCTGTGGTAAGTAATAAAATGGTAGCCCCAGTGAGTGAATCATTTCAAACTATTGAAAAAATGAGACATGTGAACATAACCTGTCCATTTATAAAGAGAAGACAAGAGCCCGTGGGTCTGCACCTGCATTTATGAACACAGTTTGGCAACCTTGTTCCAGGTACCCCAGGCTTTGAGTTGTAGAATAAGTATTTCTAAAATACTTTTTGAGCTCTGCAGCTTAAAACCTCAGCCCTCTTTGTCATGGCCATCTGTCCTTCCGCAGCGTCCGTGCAAGGCCATGTGTTCAGAGCCAGATCAGGAGGCTGCAGCTTGCTATGTCTTGAGGCTGTGGCCATAGGGCCTAGATGCGCACAGCACCTGGTGGGCACGTGTGCCTTCCCCCCTGTGGAGGCGCTGCAGATCTGTGGCTGCCCGCTGGGGCTTCCAAGCAGCATTCAAGTCCAGGCATCCACTGCTAACAAACATCTGTGCCCAGTTTGCTGAGTAAACACAGAGATTGCTTTTCTTTGTGAATGTGCCTGGCATAGGGTCCCTGTGAGCCCTGCTGGTGATGAATATCCCTGTCACAGCCTCCAAGATCTCTCTCTGTGTAAAAATGTAAAACGTCTTTCTTCATCCACTGCAGGAAATTCACCATCTACTTAAGGAAGTTTTATCACAGCTCTCATTCGGTTACTGCTTCCTACATTTCAAATACACTGCAGTCTCTACCACTGCACCAACCTTAAACCCTCATAACATTTTGGTGAATATCTTTCTAATTTCCACTTTCATTTTGGTTGGTAGTTGCTGTGAATGCAGAGTCTGCTTTAAATGGAAGTTTTCTAAAACTATTAGCTAAATAGAAGCACTTAATTCATGATGTCAAGCAGATCCTGGATCCCTTATTTCTAGACTTCCCATAGGCATAGCTGGAGACCAGAATTTTCTATGAACGCTGTAGTTTATGTGTGTATGTTAATTTCAAGCGGTCGGTTTCACTTCATCAGGATTTTAGCTGAAGGTTAATGCAGTTAAGTAAGATTAATCTTACTATGTTGGTTTTTGTCCTCAGATGGTAAACGCCATTGTTCAAACAGTGACGCTCCAAATGTCACTTGGAGAGCACTCTCTAAAAACTGCAGGCTTGCATTTATTTTTGTTTTTATTCTACAGTTCCTTGGCCTTTAGAATATCTCTTCTGTTTTTATAGCATGGTAATTATTTATGGAAACTGGAGATAGCATACCCACCACTCCCAGCCCTGGTTCTGATGTAGCTACAAGAGAATTGTGCTTTCCTTTCTGTGAGTGTGGCCCCAGGTCCAGCCGTGTTTGGAATTACCTTTAACGGTGTATTGTAGATTTTTGCTTTATGCATCTTCTCCTCTGTCCCTCTCGCCATCTTTTAACCTTTTCTTCAGAGCTGATTCAGACACTGCTGTGTTGTTCGAAGATGCGAAACACTCAGAGAAATCTAAATGATCCTTTATAAATCACTTTCTAAACATGCCTCTATGGATGATAGAAGGGCAATTTTAAAATTCTTGAGGCTTGTTTAAAATGAGCTACTACTAAAACTAGGGGATCTGAGCCTACTTGGCCATTTGACTTCAGTAAGTTGGCTGTCACTGGTACTGGTACTGATAAGAAAATTAACAGGAAAAAGCACTTTTGAACCAGAGGGCAGAACTGAATTTTGTGTTGTTTCTCCTTTTTCGTGCAGGGGAGAGACCATGCTAACACAGGGACTGTGCAGACAGTACCCCTCAGAAAGGGGACCTAGAGATGTGCTCCAGCAGTGCTGGACACTCTGCGATGGCCCTTGGAGTGTCCTCACCGGTGTCCTGGCAGCCTCCCAGCCGTGACTGTGTCCATCGCCAGGAGGAAGAACTGCACGTCTCCTGCCAGATGCCCCACACTGCCGAGCTGCTGCTCTGGACTGCAGACTGAGGGAGATGCCTCTCCTCACTAGAAGTTTAAAGCAGCAACAATGCTATGCCTACGATTCCCTGTAGATCTCACACACTCATATATGTGCTCTTCAAGCATAGCCCGTGTTTTCTTCCCATAAGCAGTGGTACTGGCAGGCACAGTGGGCGCTCAAGGGATCTGTGTTATTCAAGACACATTTGAGACACTGGAACAAAGAAACGTGTGTGTGTTGCATGGAGCGGAGAAGCTAAGCACTGTAGCAGGAGCTCCTGTGCTCAGAAAGACTGCTGTGGTGGATGTCAGAATGGTGGTGGGTCTGAGGTTGATGAAGTATTAGTACTACTGCCTCTCCTTGTCCTAGTGGGTATTTAAAATAATCAATAAAGAGAGGACAGAGGTGGCAGTCAGGTGCTGTGGGGAAATCAGGAATGGAATATGGGGCGATGACCATATCCTAATCAGTCACAGATTCGAACACGTCGCCCTCGGGGCCATTGCCTTTCCTGTGTGCCCGCCCTGCATTTCCACCCTCCACGCTGAGTCTGGCAGAGGAAACACGTCTGTGGGACAGAAGTATACCTTCTGCTTTGGAAAGGAGAGCTAGATAAACACTAAGAAAAGCAGGCTTCTTTGTTTATTCTCAGGATCTTTTTGTAACAGGGCTACATTCTGCAAACTGCTCACAAAGGAAGATTATGCGTCTTAACAAATTACTTAGCCACTGAATCCTCCCAATTTGGGCCTGTTTTATTAATGTCAGAAGAATCCCCGAGTAGATTTGGGGGCCCTAGATCCCTAGGGTACTAATGCTATGGAGCCTTCTGCTCACCCCTGCCCCTTCCCTTGCCCCTCCCCTCTCCTGCACACCCCAGCAAGTAGTTGTCTTTTCTCCTTGGGCCTTGTGACCTCCAGGGGATGAGTAACTTCATTTATTGAGTATGGGGGTCACTGGGCTCTTGGGTGGGGGGACGGCTTTATATACCTCTTCCTCAGTAATTAAAATGCAAGTTTTGGTGGTGGGAGTTAAGGCCCATAACAAAGGATCTTAAACCATGCAGTGTACGCAATTTAAATTGTATTCTACAGATATAAATATTTTCTTTTCCTATTGCCATGACACTATGTGTGATGGTAATATTTCTGAGGATTTCAGATTTTTGCACATATAATTTTATGCATTATCAAAAGTTACTGCTGCCTTGAATGAAAATGTTCTGTGAAATTTTTTGCAAAAAGCTTTACTAGGTTTTTTTTTAATTGTGAAATTTTGTAAAGGCAGGAAATGATTAAAATGAGCATGCTAAATATATTTTTCAAAAAAGCAATAATTTTACATGTACAGAAATTATCCTAACCTTTAATACTGGTGAGAGCGACAGTTTACTTTAATACAGTAATGGATTAGTGCAGTTTTTGTAGAAAATGGGCTTCTGATACAAAGACTTGTTTAAATACACACAAACACACACCTGAAGTGTGGTTTTCCTGTTCTAATGATTTGTTGGATTATTATTATATTATTATTATTATTATTATTATTTTATTGTTATTGTTAGTTAATGTTTGATTCTGAATTCTACTTGTTACTGAGTTTAAATTACTTGACAGTTCAGGTGACTGCGACATTTGCAAACAATGCAATGTAACTGGCTAATATATATATATATATATATATATATATAATTTTTGTACCTATTTTTCCTGATATTCTTACATCAGATATGTATGAGAATGATCTGTTGTATTAGTGTGCTTGAGAATGTCTGCACATATACTGTTAAGCAACTGTCATGGATTGTTCTGTGAGGTTATTTGGGCAAAGTTAGAGAGACACATTCCTCTGTCCACCTAAGAAATCAGAACACCCTTCTATTGATTTATGTTTGATCATTTTGATATTTTCCCCAAGGTGATCATTTCTACATTTTCTGGCTTTTGTTTCCTTGTCTGAAAGTAATCAGTGACAGGAATGTGCAGGGACTAGTGATTCAGTCCTATTTTGTTTCTCTGTGTTTTAGTTATTAAAAGAAATTCTGTTCCCAAAGTGACACAAAGGTGTCGTCTACATTTTTACTGTTTCAGAAGCAGCACGGAAAAGTGCAATTGGCATTTAGAGCAGGAAGTGTCTCTCTTCCCACAAATCTCCTTCCTAGTCGGCCTGGTGGGAGAGGCGCGCACTGGGCTGCAGCCAGGGTGCCTGGCTTGGCTTCCAGGAGAGGAGCTGTGAGGGCTGCCGGCTGGCTTCCGTGGTGGGGTGCCTCCCGACGACAGCAGCAGCGGTGCAAACAACCAGGTTTGCAGAGTCCACAGCATGGGGACCTGAGATTGCTACTTGGAGCCCAGCCCTGAGCTGGGCTGAATGAGTGGTTCCTTTCCTCCACTGAGCATCAGTATTGTATTGGTTTGTTAATTTGTTTGTGTCAGTTCAACCATAGTATTTAATATGTTTTGTGTTTTCTTATTTATTTAGCCAACATGTTTTGATTTCGCTTTTTTTTTCAAATGACAATTTCTGCATGATACACTTCTGTAAGTCGCCTTCTGACTGTTACAGACTTTCTACTACCTCTACCAACCTGCTGTCTCCTTGTTTCCTAACAGGATTTTACAGTGTTGTGTCTAATGTAACTTAGACAATAAAGGGTTTGGTTATCTACACCGCAGTGCTCCTTGTGTCTCCCCTGCCCTGGCCTGCACTCTCGCTGCATCCTGCCTTGGCTCCCGCCTGGTCTAGCTTGGCCCTTCCCTCTTCCTGTCACCCTGTCTTCTTCCCCACTTGCATCTCTTCTCGTTTGTGAATTCACATAACACACAAATGACGAGCTTCTTAAAATCTTTCAGGTTATTTACTTGTAGTCCTTCATTCGAAGAACGAACATTTAAATTTCCCCAAAAAGCAAATGTTCATTGTCCTTTCTGGGAAGTCACCGCTGCAGCTGTCCACGTTGCTGCCTGGCTCCCAGAGTTCTTAGTGCATCTGTGTTAGTACAGTGCAAATTTCAAGCCATGTGATTTTTGCCTTTTTGGATCTGAAAATATCAAATGTTTTAAGACGTTTCCCTAATATTTATTTATCTTTTCAATCAAGAAAGACACTGGCTTTCTGAAACGAAGGAAGTTCAACTGGGCGCTCCTTGCATTTGTTCTAAAGGATACAAGAATGTGGGCTTTGTGATAGGCTGTCAGGATGCATCTGACTTGGCGCTGTGCAGCATGGCTAGGAACGGCTCCAGCGTCTTTGTGAAGCCCAGCACATGTAGGGCTCACAGTGCTACGCCCTCTTAGGATGCAGAGCTGAGTGTCTCAGAGGGACAAATTCCACCTCTCTGGGTGGTGGCCCTGGATGCTGCGCATTCTTTCAGCCAGGAGAGAGCGGTGGGGGTGCCTTCCACGTCATGTTGCATGGAAGACAGCACCTCCTGGACTCCCATGGCTAGATGCTATCTCCCAGCATTCTTTAGAACAAGACCCCTGTCCCCCTACCATGTCACAAGGTTCAAACCCTGTTGTAGACAGAGGAAGTCCTGTGTTTATAAACTCCACTCTCACAGCATCTAAAGTAACATTTGTGTTTTACTGCTTTTAATTTTGGTGACTTCTAACTGTAGAACATTATTCATTGAGCAAACAGCAACAGCAGAGATCACAGGTGAGGACTTCCAGCGATGACCAGGTCCTTGGTCTTTGCCGCAGTTTGGCAAGTGCTAGAGCCCTACCTAGGATGTACTTGGGTGGAGGGACCTCTGGTCTCCCTGCAAGGGAAATGTCCATTCTTTATCAACTTTGCTAATATATTCTTTAAGACCGTAAAATGCAAAATACCATAGAATTTGTATTTCTTTTTATAAAAATACAATTTATAACATTTTGTACTCTTTATATTAGAATTTGTAATAGATCGATGTATTTAACTCTATTTCTGAAAATAATTCAATGTTTCAGTTGTGTGATAAAATATTTAGATAAAACATTCATTCTATTGGATTTTGAAATAAATAAAAACATCTTGGAGTTCTTGAGATTTGTAAGACATTTTTCCCCTATTTCAAAGGTAGCTTGACTCATCTTGACAGCTTGTCTTGATCTGTGGTTATTATAAATTTTTTTGGCTGAGCATAAACCAAAGTGTTAATGTTCTTCATGATATAGGCATAAAAGTTGTAGGATGATTCACAAGATAATTCATCTAAGAAGATGCCAAATTGCCAGAGTATTTTTTCCAGGTCTTTTCTGAATGTAAGATACCACACTTTGGCAGATGTTTTTCTCATTCTTTACCCCAGCACACTTCCCATTCTTCAAGTATGCACGGTATCCTACAACTTGCAGTGTGACCCACATGCAATGTACAGGACCAGATATGAGTGGAGTCCGGAATTATCCACACCTGGATGAGATCTTTGCACCAAAAATTTGGGGATTTAGTGGGGCTGATACTATGGTTTGCTGTGTTTGCTAATGAGATCACAAAGTATGGAGCCATTAGATGTATAGCTTTTAATTTGGAAAGATAGATTGTGTTTAAAATTAGAAGATGTATTAGTGTCCCTCTGAACAGAAAAAAGGGCCGAGGCACTTGAATACTGCTTTTGACATAAGCCAGAACAGAAAATAGAGGATCCTGTGTCCTGCAGCCGGAGAACCCTGGGTTGAATCCCTGCTGTAATCTGAACTGCTGTTTTGAGGGGTTATGCAGATTGCAGTACAAACCTCATTTAAAGTCACGTTAGGTGTGCAGCCCAGCATATTCAGCACCTGCCTCCTCTTGGGCCTTGGGAGAACAGGGAGATGCTAATGAGGGAAGGTCCACACTGAAAAGGCAGCTGACTCTTAGTTAACAAATTTGGGGTTTGTAAGACATTTTCCCATTATTTCAAAGGTAGCTTGACTCATTTGACAGCTTGTGATGTGACCAAAGTGGCGTGGCCCAGATCTCTCTGTGTGGCCTAAAGGGTAGAGGTCCCTGAAGCTTGTGAGTCTGCTCATGTCCCAGTGCCAGTGCACACCCTGTCCTGTAGTGCTCCAGGGGTAATGGTGCTCCCTCCTTCAAGAAAGTAGCTTCTCTTCACCGCGCAGTGAGAGCACAGCACGCTGCCATGGGAGCCGGGAGATGCTCCTGTGGGAACCAGTGTGGGCCACGCTGTCCCTGGATCTATAATTTGGATACAAGAACTAAGTGTGTGGGCTGTGTGTCTCACACCTGCACATGCATACAGTAACAGTTATGTGTTCAAATTAGTTGACATATTTGTGACCTGTATTTCCCATTCACAATCAACAGAAGTGTAACCCTAATGTGTTAATAATGTTCCTCCCTTACCTGTTGAGAAAGATGATGTTATTTAAGGGACTAGGAAAATTAGAAGAACACTCTGCTTGTGTGGCTGATTATGGAAAAGTCTGGCTTCCTCACTGCTGTCAGCTGACCTGTGAGGCTAGAAAGTGGCTGCAGGAAAAGAAAGCCTGTGGGCATCTCTGGCGATGTGACATCCCCTTCTGATTTCTGGTAAGGGAAAATACAGTCAGGGAGGTTACGAGAGGACAGTCTCAGTCCCTCCTGCTGTAACAAAGCACTGTAGAAGGGTTGTTTGTAAGCAGCAAATTTATTGCTTTCAGTTCTGGACACTGGAGAACCCAAGATCAAAACACTGACAATTCAGTCTGGTGACCTCTCTGCTCTACAGGAGCACCTGATGTGGTATCATGTGGTGGAAGGCAAAACAAGCTCTCAACCTCTTGTAAGAACACTTGTGAAGGTTCCATCCTGGTGACTGGATCACCACCCAAAGACTGCCTCTGCAGTGATGCACTGTGGTTTAGGTTTCAGCGTTAGAGTTGGAGTGATACATCAAACCAGTCACACCATGGCACATGCTCTTCTCTCTCCGAGGAAGATGTGGATGTTTTCATTTCAGTCCATTAAATTGGCAAGAGTAGAGCATCAGTAAACTCTTAACTTGGTTGCAACGGCTTCAGTGTTTCAGGGGCCAGGGAGGACAGTGTGTGTGCTTCTGTCTGCAGGTCAGGCCAGAGATCCATGTGCCTGGCAGAATCCCTCCCCACACAGGCTGAGCCATCTTCTCCAACAGAGCTCTGTTTCTTCCGGTCTTTCATACCTAAGGATGGCCTTGATGAGCTAGAATGTTTTCAGAACAAGGACACTGAAGTGAAAGCAGCATGTAAGAAAGGTTTGATGAAACATCCCCAGTCCCACTGGGAGGCTTCACATTGATTTGCTTGGCAGAACCCTCTGCGTAAGCTGGTAAAACAGGGTGGTTTATCCTCAGAAGTCACAGGGCCCTTGACCTTGCTTCCTGTTGGTTTTTAGCATTGGAGTATTAGAACCCTCACTCAGAAAACCATGCGAGTCTTGCCTTATCAAAGCATTTCAGGATTCTTTAAAATTGGAGAAGTTGTACAGCAAGTTTTTCATTTATAGATGCACCTAGTGAGTTGCCTGCTCTAGGCTAGATCCTGGCTTACGATGAACAGAACAACCTGCATTTTGGGCTCACAGTGGAGGAAGGACCAGGACATGGCAATGATGATCCAAGCCAGATGCAGATCAACGGTAAGGATAAATGGGAGAGGAGTGGTATCTCCCGGGGAGAAGACATACCCATGTGTCACCAGGACCAGGTGACACCCACCTGAAACTTTTGGAAGGATTTGACTGAATGACTGGGTCAATTAACTAGCCTTAAAGAAAAATTTGCCTCTGATACCTAAGCTGGGCTGACTTTGATAATCTATAACAAGGTCTCTATCCAAGAGGGAAAAGTATGCATGAATTTGCAAGAGGAAAAATTTCTTGGGAAATAACCCACAGTGCAATTAAGAACATGAGTTGTCAAATCTGAGAAGGGAAAGGAACATTAACACCAAGTGAGGATTCAGGCAAGAAGAACAACCGCCCATCCAGCCAGCTACAGTCCTACCAAGGGAAGCTCGCTGGCCAGTGTGTAAAGGTGTGCATGTTTGTGAGCTAGTGCATGTGTCTTATTCAAGATGCAAATCAAAGAAGCAGAGAAAAGCCAGACATAGAAGTGAGGCGATTCAGGGGAGGTGAACCTGAGCCGAGACCATGACAGATGGTTTGGACAGGAAGGTCATGGGTCGGGTAGACAGGTGTGTACAGCAATTGTCTCTGTCTAGATCCAGCTACCACCACATGGTCTTGAGGGATAGAGTTTGAGAAAAACTGATGTTTAAAAGGCCATATACAGATCTCATTCTGTCTCCACACCCTCCAAGGTGGGCACGACGAACTCCATTTTATAGGCTGCAAGTTGTAGTCAGAGAAGGTGACTTCCCTAAAGGATGTGGGCAGAAGCTCACTGAGCTCTCTGGAATCCAGGTGGAATCCACTTTGCACTCCCTTGCCTGATTTGCCACTAGACACAGAGCCCATGATTGGGAATGATGAAGACGTCCCTGTGATGTGTGGTGCTCTCAGAGCGTCCGTTATCCTACAGACCATCTTGCAGCCCTGATGTTAGGTGGGAAGGGTGGAGGTGCAGTCAGCCTGCTTGGGAGATGGACCCTGACCGCTCTGGATCAGAATGTGATGCTTTGGCTTTTCCAGCTGTTCTCTCTGAAGCACCGAGGCTGCACTCAGCAGGCCTTAGGTAAATGAAGACCTAATGTACACAGGTGAGAATGTGGGGGATTCTGAAGACTTGCTGCTGAGTTCTGGGAGTTTCCTGCACACTCAGCAGGTCTTTCCTCCAGTGTTTCTCCTCTGTGGGGTTTCCTTACTCACCAAAGACACACTCAGGGTGTCCTACTGCTCCAACTCTGCCTCATGCCAACCTTCCTTGCATACCTGCAAGCCTTTGCTTCCTGAATTGTCCACGATCACTGTTTCTTTCCTCGTGCTAGCTTTTGACATGACCCCTGCTTTACTGAGTGTCCTTCGCTAAGCCTATCAGGACCTCATAATTGCTAAGTATAAGGACTACTTTTCCAATTACATCACATGCTAGCTTTTTTGACGGAATATTATGTATGCCAGTATATTCTTCATTCAGATTTAATGATTACAGCATTTTGTCTGATATAGTTTTACACTTTACTATTTGCCCTGATGTCCCATTTTGGGTGGTCCCCAGATATTGGGACATCTCAATTGTAGATGGACACACTGCACATGACACTGGGAATGTGGCATCCCTCTGCTGCTGTTTCCCCTTGGGGATGAGCATTTATTGTTCTACTGTCCCCCTATTGCCACTACAGGGATCTTTATGGAGTTTGTGCTAGATCATTCCATGAGATGATTGAAATCTTCTGGTAATTCTTTTCAGAAAAATCCTAACTGCCCCCGCCCACCATGCTCTGGAAATCTTCCCTTGATTGGATGTTTACAGCTATCCAGAGACACAGGTCACCACACAATCTGCATTTCCCAAAGTGCCTGCTCCTGCTCCTGCACTCTCTGCCTTCCCCCCAGCAGTCCGGCCTGGGAGACACCTGGGAACTTGTGCCCTGTCTTTGTCTCGTGCCTCACCTCTGTGCTTCCCTGCTCACTGGGGCCAGTACAATCCATGTGCGTGCTGCTTGCAGAGCATCTGAAACTTAAGCAGGAGCCTGTCTGCTGCCTCTCAGGGGCCGAGCTGTGGATCGCCTAGGGCAGATGTGCTGTGTCTCATTGTCCAGCACTGCCCAGCCAGCTCTATGGGGAAGCCCTCGGCATGTTTCCTCAATGACCACAGGAGGCTTTGGGTCCCACTGACCCAGCAAGAATGACCATATTTGTCCCCTTGGTGAATGATATTATGGGCTGCATTTTACAAATTTCAATGTGAGGCACAAGTATCAGGAATCACTCCTGATAAGTTTACTTGAGTTACCAAGTCTAAGTCCTATAAAATAATTATTGAGCAGCATCGTCTCTAGATACCAGCACCTTGGCCCCTTTCTAAACAATATTGCATTTATGAATCAGAAAGTAGCTGTTGCACATATGATGTACCAAAAATAAGTCATGGTCATTTTCTTGTCCAATGAGA